TTATATAATCCAGTTGCTCAGACATAGTACCTGAAACGAATAGATATCTAATTTCATTTCAGCGCAAGAGGAAATTACTGTGATGCAAAACAAAAGAATTCAAATTGTTTACATTCTTTAACGTGACGAATGTAACTCAAGAAGAAAAGGTGAGGTTGAGGTATAAAATTTGACTCTGGGTTAAAAAGCTTCACTACAAATAAGCCAAATCCCAAATCAGAGATTAAGGATATTACATGGGACGTAGTAAGGAAGTCCACTACCAAAATAACACTCAATAGGTTCATGAGGTGATATCTTTTAACTTTCTAATAATCCATTCTTCATTTCACCCAAACATACATAACAGGTGGGCGGTGGCTAGAAATGTGTAAAACAGTCAACAGTGAACAATTATTAAATTATTTAATCATGAACACGCAATTTTTATTCAACTGCATAGTAATATTCTTGATGAAAACGGGCATAGATTTTAAATAAACCAGAACATTTCCCTAATATTATATTTTTTTCTTGTCATATAGACATGGGATTGTTCACCCAAACAACTTCTAAACCTAATCGATTGAATAACCAAAACCACCTGTCAAATTGTCTTGTCTATTTGTATAACGTATTAAAATACCAGTGTTTATTACTTTAAAAAACAACAAAAAGGACATGATATTTCCCTTAAAATGTCTGGACCTTAGATATGATAGAAGTAATGGAAACGTAAATCCCTCTATTTTTTTTAAGGCGATATCGATTCAACTGACAAAAGTATGTAAACAGTTTAACAGTGTTTTTCTTACACAACTTTTCACTTTTTCAAAAGTAATAAATAACATTCCAATCTAAGATTTATCAGTCATGATTTTTACTTGGGTTGAATTGATATTTACAAGAAAAGCAGAATACTGTTCTTCTTATAACAGATATGTAAGAAGTCATTTCTCTTATATCTATTTCAATATTATTGAAGTGGTGATAGTTTGTCCTGCATAAACTCAATAGGCTTGTTCAAACCTTCAAGCCATGTAAAATAGTCAGCGTTTGAAACTACTCTATCACCTGTTATTAGATTAAGTGTAGGTATTTTAAATGCTTTTGTGTACAGTGAGCTAAAATTAACTTTCGATACGCTAAAGTGAATAGATTCAAAACAGTTGTCCAAAGTTGGTGTCAAAATGTATATCCATTGAATCTCATAAGTCAAGACTATAAGTTATTGAATAACCATTCAAATAGAATATTGCAACTCTTTGGTTTAGGCACGGAATTTATTTATCCAAATTACTAATTTATATTTTGACTTTGCAGCTAATGTCAATTCGTAATAAAAACCTTAATGCTAATTCCTAATCATGACTTATAGCTATAAATAATAGATTCAGTTCTTCACACTAATTCAGAGCCCTCTTTTGACTGTAGTAATTAGTTGAAGTTTGTAAAGGACACTTTAGTATCGCTCGAAAAACGTCTCGCCTTACTGTTTTGCCTTCATACTACAGAGATATAAATAGCAGTGAATTCAACTATATTACATTTACTAAAACACTGAGCAAAGTTGAAAATGTCCAACAAATAAACTATATTGATTTACTGAAGTGTTAGAGTTTGGCTTAGTATTTTTTTTAACATTATGGGAACTTTAACAAATAAATTATATTGTTCAATATTTAACTGACTAGATCATTAACATGAACAATCTCTCTATATATTGATGTTTTTACTTTATCATTAATGGTTTGGAGGTTTAATTTTTGCTAAAGAAATGTTTTTAAACTAAACCAAGCTTTATCTATTTTAATAATAACTTCTCAATAATCCTAGAACGATTTGATATTGAAATGTCATTATCAAACAACTTGTAATAAGTATGATTACTACTACAATCGAAAAGTAGTAATTAACATTACTTCTTAATTAACTTACTCGAAAAATTATGCTGAATCGAACATATTAGTATTTTGTTATTATAAAAACACACATCTATACAATTTCATTAGTATATTGCTCAATTTTTAACAAGAATAAACAAAACAGACTCAATCAGTGACTCAACTATCCCATTTTAGATTATCTCATTGTTCGAAATGTTATATCCATGAATACCATTAAAAGTTGTTAGTACCTAGATGTTGTGTTTTTTTCCTTAAAGTGAATAAATACATTAAAAATAACTTAGTTAAATGACTCTTATCTTAGTAAAAAAATATTAGTAAAAAGCACGATATTCCATACATTAAGTAAAAAGCAATGACTTAATTAAACATTAATTATCATCTATATGAATTATGTGGAAAAAAAACATAAAATTAATAAATGAATTACATCACGTGATCTGATATATAGAAGTAACTTTGTTCAGGTAAACCTTGTATCTAACTTCAGAGAGTTAATGAAGTTATAAAGATGACTAGAAACAAAATAAGCAAATATTCATTTGAAACTCTAGAGAATAATTGAATCTACATGTGTAAGACACTATCTCTCATTAGATGTCTCATAAAATGTTACTTACAATAGGTCTTGACAACTAAATAAACCCTTTTACAAGTGTAATTCTTATCAGATGATGTTTAAAATGCTTTAACTGACGAACTAACTATCAAGATTTTTCAATTAAAAAATTTATTATTAGATAATTGAATTTTTATACTTAGCAACCAGATTCTTATTTTTAATAATAATAATAGACAGTGAGGAAACCAGAGAAATATCGATATCCTACTTAGTGTATTCTAGTTATCCAGGATAAATAAATCAATGGACTTTAAATAAAACGTGATTTCTTAAAGATAATGGATGAATTCATACAGCCATATTGAAATTATTCATGTTTAATGGTATGACATTGTTGCCGAACGTTAATCTGTTGATTTATTATTGTACATCTAATAAAAATAATCTTTGTAGAGTCGGTTCGAATATTGGACAAATATTAAAAAATGGATCACGAAACAAAATCACCGTTTTCTATACATCAGCCTTGACTATAAAGCGTTTTATTATTTTTCATTACATTTGTCTATTGAAATTGAATTCACCGACTTTTCTTTTTAAATGTCTACCTACTTATGCATTTCCCGTACTTGTAAACTAATACTTTTATTAGTCTTCAAGTATATGAACAAGGATAACACACTTAAGCTGATATCATGCAAGGACAATGTAACTTTCTCTTCTTATTCTTAAATAAAATTAAAAAATCTTTATTATAATTTTTAAATAGATAGATGTTTAGCAAAAAAAAAAGGTTTATAAACGGCAAACAAATAGGTAAAATGATCATAAACAATTACTATTTTCGCATTTCTGTAACAGTAAAACATTTATTCTCGAAGATTCATCCTTATCAGTTTCCAGATTTCTCTACTTAAAAGGAATGTCATATACAAGTCAAAATTATGGTAGACTAGAAAAATAAACTGCACGAAGTTAAAGTATTTAGATGTAAAAAAAATAACAAACAATCGCCTAATAAGTAGATAGAAAAGTCAGTAGTTAGTGAATGTGCAGGCTTTCGTAATGCTTTGACTGTGGAAAAAGAAATTAATCAATATTGAAACTATGAAGGTAACTTAAAGTGGATATTTTTGTCCATCTAAGCTAATTCAACATTATTTTCTTTGTCTAACATATAATAAGAGAGTATAAGTAAACTAATGATATTATGATGTAAATCGAAACAATCGTGAATGAAAATATGTTCAATAAACGATTAGAAAGTTTAATACATGCGACCTAAGTGTAAGAAAATATTCCATAATGTTTTTAATTAACACTGAAGTTGACTTTTCCATTGTTATTTAAGACATACTGATGACAAACTTTATTTATGAAAGTTTACTCCTACAGTTTATTTCATCATCAGTAGTTACTTGTGTAGCATGTCTTAAAATTATCTCATTAATCTTCCTTAAACATTAAGAAGTAAATTTAAAAAATCAGTGAACTAAGTATCATACAGTTAGTGTAGAATGTAAATGTGATTCTGACAAAAAATTGCTATCTTCGAGTTATTGATTGTTTTTAGACTAACAACTAAGGTAAAAGTTCTGTAATATCGTTTTACTTGTGTAATTTTATTTATAACACCGTTATCAAATGCTAAACAAGAAACATATTCAAAGTAGTTAGAAGAAGGATTAAAGACAACCAGTCCGTACTAACATATCGGCACATAAAGTGATCAAACGTTTTCATATTACCGATGAAATGATCTTATCAACTGTATAAGAGTATAAATAAAATAATTCATAAATTAAAGATGAGGGTAGTAAATCATCGCTATATTGTTGTGTAGAGAATGGGATTAGATAAAGCGAACGCAACATAAGTTTGTTTCAACCGTGGACAATGCTTTTTTTAATCTATTGTCGTTAACATTACTGTGTCATCAAACTGATTTTCCACAAAAACTTTTTTCGAAATATTCACATCCAAAAAAAGATCCATACTTTTAGATTCTTTGGTCATATCTGGTCAGTGTAATGTGGTATCTTTATCCAAAACCACATAACACAAAGTCAACGGTAAATATACTTTATGCGTTTTATTGGCTTTTTTAACAAAAATTTATTACTCACTGATCACTCACGAAAGTAATCAGTTCCTTAAGATTACAAATAATAATTGTTAAAAGATGTTTTAAATCCTAATGGAGTACTACATGAATTTCAACGTCAATAACAATATCCTTGAAACTACGTAACCTTGAACCACAACAAAACCGCTATTGCAAAATAAACCCATTGATACTACAGATTGTATAATATATACTGAAGTTGTGTAACACCATGATATGATCTTTATTCACAACTGTAGTAATGGTCATCATCTAAAACTTATATTACTGATTTATAATCCTAAGAAACTGTAAAATTCCCTGTAGAAAATATCATTCCATACTCACTAGTTTTACAATTACACATTTACAAATTAAAACTTGATCAAAATCCAATGATTAATCATATGTCATTACAAAAATATTCAAATATGACAAATAAACTTACCACTAATTGACACTATAAACATTGAATAAGTAATATATATTTGTTCATATAACTGTTTATAAATTAATAAACATTTAATTGTTCATCTAACATTACATCGATTTCTGAAGATAATACATTATTCAATAGAATATAGTGTCCAGATAGATTTCAAATGTATTTAATTATTAAAATACAAATGTTATACTTTCTTCAAATTAGATTTTGAAAAATAACCATATAATCAGTTTAGTTATTTTCCGTTTTCCTTTGTTTTTTTGTTTTGTTTGTTTTTAACTATTTACGTTTGAATTAAAACTAATCGTTTAGTCTCCTGTTTTGATGTACATTTCTCAAATTTATAGTATCTAAGTAAAATTAATTTTTAGAAATGAAAATTATTTATCATTTTTTCAAACTACCAATTCTACAATATGGTACGTTGTTTTTTTTGTTAGAAAAAAAATACAAAAATACTCATTTCTGATTGGTTACTTTAAAAGTCAGTTAATAATTGGTTGTAAAGCACATGATGAAAAGTAAATAAAATAAATTATGTTATGAATGTGTTTCTGTGACCTGTTTGCTTGACAAAGACAAAAAATAGTGAGAGAGATGGAATTAGTATTCAGTAGTTCAAGATAGTAAATGTTTTCGTTTTCTGCATAACAGAATACGAAAGCGGTATGCTGTTCACAAGTTTGGTTATCAGTAAACTTAACAGTATTGATCTTATAATTAGTTCATTTTTTTCATATATGTAACATATACAGAAAATAAAAATGATTGACCATTGAAATTATTTTTGTTTTAAAAAATAATCATGTTTACGATAATCACAGTGTTTTTGGGGCCCTTTATTTTGCCATCATTTAGATCGGATGATGTTTGTTGACAGGCTGTAAACTTTAGTGACCCAAGATCTAACTCCAAGTAGATTGTATGACGTCACCTATTCTCGTATATAATCATCGACTTAAATCGCGTTAGTCAATAACAGAATTATCAGAAGGGGTTTGTGGAGATTTTAGAAATTTTCACAGATTTAAATCATGAGTCAGTTGAAGCTAGACCACCATTGAAAACCTGGAAGCACTGGACGGCCGTTTCGTCCTAGTATGGGACTCCTCAGCAGTGCGCATCCACGACCCCGCACCACGCGGGGAAGCCGTTACCAGTGGAGTTCAACCAGGTCTGTTGTGAGATATCAGCTCACTGAAGACAATGGTGTACGGTGGCGCGACTTCGTGGATTGGTTGAAGTTAGACATTAACACCGTTGGATACCGGCTCAGTGGTCTAATGGTTAAGTGCTCGCGCGCGAAGCCAGTAGGTCCTGGGTTCGAGCCCCGCGTGGTGCGGGATCGTGGATGCGCACTGCTGAGGAGTCCCATACTAGGACGAAACGGCCGTCCAGTGCTTCCAGGTTTTCAATGGTGGTCTAGCTTCAACTGACTCATGATTTAAATCTGTGAAAATAACAGAATTAAATAAGTCAAATAACGAGAATGGACTTTTGAATACATACATTTTGTATATGAAGCGAATGGAATAGAGAGAAGCGAGACAACGCGCACTGGAGATGGCGAGTAAAACAACTCCTATTTAACCAAGCGTTAATCAATATTAATAGTTACACAAAAATAAGTCACAGACATGTGATGAGTAATGGGATAAAAAGTGTACACACACCTACGCGCTCATATAAAAACAGTCAAGATTGGTAAGCGAATAATTAGCAAGGTCAGAATGTGACTCAAGTAGGATGTGAGTAGATTGGTTTGTCCGGAAGCTATAAACAAGGTACATAGGCTTAATATAATAACCAACACAACAAGTGATTGTAAACTTCTACAAACATTTAAGTCGGCATTCGAAGCGTAGAAGCTGTAATTTTAACAAATATAATGCAATTATAAGTTGTTAGGCTATATTAAAACAAAAAGTGAACAAACAAAGAATTGAGAATCCAAGAATAGCCTGTGGCAAAATCTTTTTGATTCACTTTCAGTCTAATAAACTAAATGATAAATGAAATATCTGAATATGTTTACATTTAATGGAAGCAAATAGGACCAAATGTTTTGTAGTATGATAAAATCATGAGAAATTTTATTTTAATAAATTTTGTCAGAATGATTTTTGTTAACTTGTAAATAAAATCTTACCGGCATTAACACTTGCATATTATGATGTAACTACATCAAAGTCTAGAAAGGAAAATATTTTGTTTTTTTCTTTTATTTTGTCGCTAAAATTTTTTTATTATTTTAATCAATATTTGCCTGGTTTTTTATCACATTTGGCTATGAGTGGAATGCTTTATGTTTTTCTAATATCAGAATGTTCAGTCAAGTAATCCAAGGTCATTTTTTAGTCTATATAGTTATAAATGCATGTATTAATTAATATATATCCTGGCAAACTGTATTCGTCAGATACACAATATAGAGAAATATCATGAAACTGATAACATAGTTGATAATAAATAATTATAAAAGGAGGAATATATAAAACAATACAGATATATAGCTAGAAGCAGTGAACAATCGTTTCGTTCTAGTATAGGACTCCTTAGCAGCGCGAATCCAGGAGTGAAAATTAACTCTAAGATGCAGGTGCACCCAGCTGACGAGTGCTGTATAGGACGAAACACGCGTCCTGGATTCCACTGCTAGCCATCAAAATCTCTATCAACAACTAGAATAACCGGAACGAGTTATAAAATTGACGAATTTATAAGTTAGAAGAATACATGTTTAATATTAATGATGAATATAAATTTTATTTGGGAACAACTTATAAAATAATAGTAAAATAAAAAAGAACATTTTAATCATGATAAAACCGTAATTATGTAATAGGTTGAATATCTTGAATCTACTACATAATACAATAAATAGTGTAATTGATCTTTTGTATTACAATATATATCATGACTTAAACTTGAAGGTGTCCAGAACTTTATTCAATTGAACCGTTAACCGAATACTATGAAAATTTAGTGTAGTTTGATTTAAGAATTCACTCTATCTGGAGAACTAATAATATCAGAATGGGTTTTGTGGAGATTTTAGAAATTTCACAGATTGAAATCATGAGTCAGTTGAAGCTAGACCACCATTGAAAACCTGGAAGCACTGGACGGCCGTTTCGTCCTAGTATGGGACTCCTCAGCAGTGCGCATCCACGACCCCGCACCACCCGTGGCTCGAACCCAGGACCTACTGGCTTCGCGCGCGAGCACTTAAGCTTCAACTGACTCATGATTTCAATCTGTGAACTAATAATAATCAGGAAACACTGAATAAGTGTTTTTTTAATAGTTCTTTATATTAATAAGGAACAAGTTTACCAGTGTGGATTAATTTTCAATGGTTATCACTCTATACATAGTTCTTGACAAAATTAAATCATTTTTTAAAGCGTTTAGCAAATGCTTGAATATTATATTAAATAAATTCTATTCCTTACAAACTTTATCTAGAACATTTCATAACAAATGGATAGCTAAATGTAATTAGATCTATGTTAGCAAGATAAACCAATTGGCTTATTTCATCTACCCAAATTATTAGTAAATTATAGATTGTGTCAACTTAAAGTTTAATTTACAACAAAACTCGGAATTTAAAATAAGTATATTACATAATAGAAGCAAATAATTGTTAGAATGTGCATGGCATAAGAAGCTGAATTTTCGAGATCGTATCAATAAATCGACTTACATGTAAATTGTAAATAAAATTCGGCGAGACCATAATTTATGGACGAACTAATCAGGTGTAAGATTACAGGTCTCGGATTTTGGCACGAAATTCATTCATTCATTGGGCTAAATAGAGTTTTGACGTTATAGCTGATATCAGTTCGTGAGTTAAACTCTAAATCTAATTCCTAACCTTAACCATCAACTGTAAATCATAATTCTAATTCCTCACACTGGTTTATAACATCATTTATTCCTAGTTATTAGGTGAGCACTCTTCAGGTCACTTTAGAATTGCTCAAATTTCGTCCATAAATTATGATCTCACCTAAAATTCTTCTCCGTCTTATGACCATCCTCTGTTTAAGTATGCAGAAATGAATAAAAATGATAAAACAACAGTATTAAAAATAAACATTAATAATAAGTGAAACGCTTATTTTGCATTCGAATGTATATACTTTATTGAAACAGTAAGAAAAATGTACAGACCAACAATAGCTTGTAATTTTAGAGAAACTCACTAAAACAAACTGTTTCAATAGGCTGTACAAAACTAACCTCTAAGATGTATTTAAAAGTTTCTATATTGTATCATCATTTTAGAGTTTTGTGTAAGTTCGATAAACATTTATTACATAATCTTCGTTATTTAGATTATTTCCATAAATTTTTGTCTTATTAAGTGATAGATTAACTTCTTGTCTTAAATCAAATGTGATTTTGTCATTTTCGCTATTTATGGCATGCAATCTTTTATTTAATTGATTATGAAAACTATAAAAGCATAATAATAATGATAGTAATGATAATAGTAGTAATAATAATAGTAATAATAATAATGTCTTTAATTCAGTTACCAAATAAGATGAAACATCTTTCACCGTGAATGAATAAACATTAGAACATATTGATGAGCAATCTTTTATTATCTTATTCTTCCTGATCATAAAAATGGGAAACAAAGACTACTTTCATTAAAGTAAAAGAATCTACAAAATAGTTTTTTCTAAATTATTTTTAATTATCATCATTATTATTATTTATCGTAAACGGAAATTAAAATTTATTTTCCCTTCAAAAAGAATTTAAGATAAAATTGTCATGAAAACTAATATGATAAACAAAAATGTAACCAGGTTGATGAATATAGGAAGAAAACTTTATTGATGATTGTATAAAACAAACAATTTATTTTTGTTTTTGTTTTTTTATCTCTCATTGAGTTGTATAACAAGTATGAAATAATCATATTAGTAATAAAATAATGACACTGGTCTTGAATGGTTGACTTCACTGATGTTTATTATATAAAGTTGAAAGAGGAAAAACATATTTGACTATTTTAGGCAAATATAAAAGCATCAAGTTTAATTAAGTAGAATGAATCACTTGAAGTTGTTTTTTTAAGCATCTGTAAACAATTATAATGAACAAAATATTTGTCAAGCGGACTATTCACTTTTATCTCCATAAGCAAATAATAAGTAAATTGCAACAGTTTATAATAAAACTCCTCACCATCGACCATCCACGATTCCATCCGTCGGACGTGAACTCAGGATCTTCGATTTCTCCAGCGAACATTTAACCTCCAAATCTCTTAGCTAGTATCAAACGGATGTAATGGTTAACTTTACCAAATCCACAATATTGTACAACCAACTTCCATTGTTTTTGGTAGA